TTATAAAATCTTAAAGCAGTATTCGTTATGTTAAAGTATGTTAAAGTTATGTTAAAGTATATGTTAAAGCATATTTTTACAAAATGCTTTTATAATGTTCCAACTTTTTCCAGCTCTTACTGTAATAGTCTGTATATGTTCTTTCCAACTCAATTTCTTATCTATTACAATTCCTAAATATCTTACTGAACTTTTGTATGGTAAAATGTATGGTTCTATTGATACTGTGGGATCTTGTTGAAAACGGCTTCGGGAAAAGGAGCACGCTGCTGATTTTTGATGTGAAACTTGCATTCCAAAATCTTTGATGTATTCTCCAACTATATTCATGTTTAAGTCGAGTTCTTGTAAAGATTCCTCTATATTTTTTCCTTTGCTGTAGAAACAGAAGTCTTCCGCAAATTGAATGAGTTTGGTTGACATGGACAGAGAATGGTTTATATCTGTAATGTAGATGATGAATAGTGAAGGGCTCAAAATACTTCCTTGTGGTAATCCTACTTGAGTTTAGCGCGGTCCTAATATGTTTTCATTAATGGAATGGAATGGAGGGTTAACTTCACTCTCAACAACTCAGAAGCGATTTAACGTTTTGATAATGTCAACTGGCGAAACATTGACTATCAAAAGACATCAACCGGTTGAATACATGCGAAAATACTGACCATATTCCACCGAACAGACTCATTCTAATAACACTCATTATCATCATTATTATTATCAGTCAAGAACCCAGATATAGAGTTAGCAACAACTCGAAGTAATTTCATTTTCTATTGAAGTTCATTGACTCTAGAAATGAAATTTCCTGTAGAAAAAACTTCTCTACCTCCTACGTATTCATCATTGAACAGAAAATGTGGGAAAGTAGTAGTCTTGGTGATGCCAAGGCAAAATGTTGTGAATTTTTCACTTTTTTTGTTCGACGGTGAAGAAGTAGAAAGAAAAAAAGCATTTCCTCGTATTGAATCCTATTTTAGAATAAAGAATTATCTATTTTAAATCTGTTTTTTCGTTAACCAGCTGTCGCATCCCTACGAAACTTCTGCGAGCTAAGGATTAGCAAGGTCTTACCTTTCAACGTGTGATTTCTAACAATGGCTTTATTCGATATCAAGCATTACACTGATAAGGTAACTTTATAACCCGAAAATGATGAAACAAATTTCCGCTGATGATTTTTACGTACTCGAGAACGACGAAGGGAAATCATATCGATTGCGGCAAAATCGCAAGAAAATTATATTTTCTCGAGACTCACCGCAAATAGAATTTTCCCTTCAAGTGTATTTGATTACAGGAAGTTGATGGCGTGCTGGATTTGCTCAAAATGCTATCAAATTTTCGTGAATGAAAAGTTAGTCAGCTGTTACTGAATTGCTTAATAACGCGAATATACAATTATTGGGTAACCACTTAACGATTGAATCTCTTCCTCTGAAATTTATTTATCACAAAAATCGAACAATCCAAAGTGAATGGGTATATTCGACCATCTATTGCAACCCGCAAGGGTTTATTGTGGCTCACTCATATTCTTAGCGAAGTTTGTATCATGAGTGGTCAGATGGTAAGAGTACGGCTCTGCCGAACTCTAAAAACCTGATTCGGTCCCCAGCGGGACGGGCACAAAGTATGTGCTCTGCTGTTTCATCATTTTCCAAACAGAGGCAACACACAGTCTTCCGACAGTCCGAGTCTCTGCATATGATGATTCAAATGACAGTGACCTGTAAGAAGGCCTGTTAGACATCGTAGTTTCTCCCTACTGTAGTCCAACAACTGTTTGGTATCAAGCTTCGAAGGGTGAACAAACGCTTTGGAGTGAGCCAATCCTAAAATATTCTGCCACAAGTCCATAAATCTTCTCGCCAATCAGGTGTTAAGTCTTTGTTTGGCAAAGCCTGAAGCAATGCCAATGACAGGTTCTGGTCCTATGAAGCTGCTTGCAGCTCCCTTCTTTGCAAAGGGAGGTTGTAAGAGGTTGGATTCTTCCAATTTCTCCGCATAAAGTTCAATAGCCTAAATTTCCGCTTGAAATACAGTCGCATAGGTTCCTAGGCAGGTTGATATATCAGTCCTGGTTCTGCGCACCAGCATCAGCAACAGCACCTGCACCAAAACCAGAAGTTGTTTTTGATCCATCTGTGAACCAACAACTATATGCTCTTAATATTTCATTCTCTCGGAGAATCCAGTCCTCTCTACTCGGGAACAGTACTTTATGAGGCAGTTCGTAGGTGACAAATGGATGCATAAATCAGAGGTCATTTCCAGAAAGCTTTGACTTCCAGTGTTTAAAATGTATTTGTCACAAAAATTGATCAATACATTTTAACAATGAATGTATCAATTGAGGATAGAGAGTAATCACGGAAAAAGTCCTAAAATCTTAAGCACCGTCATGAAAAAAGTTCAGTGAAATGCAACAATTTGTTTCGCTACAAATCGAATGGTTCCTCGACAGTTGATACATTCAAACGAGTGTACGTTTGCTCATAGAAGCGATGAAAAAAAAATACTAACAAAAAGAAGGTCAAAGTTAAAACCTCCAAAGTGCAAAGTGCCGCTGCAACTTCTCGAGAAAGCCGCGTTATTGAGGATAATGGGGGTTACGCAGTTAGGCACCCCTCACATCATACACCACTAAGTTTGTTTATCACATCTGCACCATACTCTCGAGACTATCAGAATGATCTAGCCCGGTGAGAGACATGTGTATTACGGAAATACCAGCAGAAAGTAGATAACAAAGTTTCGGAACTTGGAGCGCAAACTGCTGAAAAGCTTTGTTACCTCTCAAACAATTTTAATCCTAAGAGCTGCATTCTCGTCATGGTTATGAATTCTTTATAACTGCTGCTCGTAGAATGGATGAAAAATAATGAAGATTGAAGAGAAGCAACAAGTTATTGTTTTAGTAGTGGTGATGAATCTAATTCGTCATTTTTGTTGATCCTTGTATCGATTAAATCAATCGTGAATGATCAGAAACACAGCAGTTTTCTTTATTTGTTGAGCAACAACCATCCAGGTTTATTAGCTAGACAATAACTTGTATGATATAGTTTTCAGATTACAATGAAATTAAATAAGAATTTAATTCAAATTTTATATAGAAAACAAATATCTTTCATGAATTTAAAAAACTAGTAGCAATCATCAGTTCTTTCATTCACTTTCTTGCATAATTTCTATGAAATTTGTATAGTGCAGGACAATGAAACTTTTATAGGTCTGTCAACAAGTTTGAAAATATTTAAGAAAATGCTGGTCTCGTTAATTCAAAGAAAATCAACTACACAATTTTCAATTTCGTACTTTTGAAAAACGGTGGCGTTCAAGAAAGACCCCACAAAATCGATAAAATTCTTGCCCAGTCCTCCGACATTTTGAATTCACGTGGTCTATAATGTTTCGGTCATATTTCATAGAATTATGATTTCAATATCCACATTTATATTACTCAAGAGTTGTATGGATGGTTGAAGAAAATTATCAGCCCCTACTGAAGGAGAACAACTGTATTTTTGGAGAACTAGTACAGTCTAGTTTCTGAAATGATGAATTTAGTTTCAAAGCTACTGAATCATTCCGTGACTGTCTGAACTCTTTCAGTTTCGCGAAAATCGAGAAATTCAACAGAGTTTTGTAATGAAAATAGAATAAACTCATAATGTCTTCAATAAAGTGTATTCGAGCGGCTGGGATTCTAAATCTGAGCAATATTCCAGAACACAAGTAAAAACCTAATTATTGAGTAGGACTTTAATCAATAACATATAAATTGGGAGAGGTGCCAAAATTGAACCTTGGGGAACACTGAGTATTGATGGCAAATGAATCGCAGGGTCCCCTATTATGAATTGCTTGTAACTCATAATTTTTGTAGGCGTGAATATTATTAATTTCGTTTTTTATTTAAGGTCATGAACAATATCATTATCTGCTCTCAACTGTTACATATGTTGAATTTTTGGGTTCGTAGACGGTCATCTAGGAATAGTGTCACATTTTATCTCAACACTCCCCGTACAAATATAATGAAAAACTCTCCAATTTATACAATGTGCGATACCTCTAATTCTGTTAGTCATGTCCTAGATATATTCAACTGCAATATTATACATATCAAAAGACATTTTTAGCTAACTGACAGTTCTGTTTTTACTTTATTTCATATGGATTCGCAAAGTATATTATGTAAGTACATGTTTGTAAATGCCACTCTTACTCCCTATTTTGTAATTGGGTTCATTCTGTAGAATAAAATAAATGAATAAATAAGTTAATAAATGAATAAATAAATAAATCATGACACAGATCATGTTCTGAATTTGTTAAGAGACATGAGAAGATAATTGAAAAGTAATGATTCCGCATGAACTAATCCACGAAGAATTTCATGAATGAATGTTCAAAAAACGCCCATTTCGATTGAGAATACCAAGAAGTAAAAATAAGAGAATGACTCGATTGCCATAATTAATCTGTTAGCTGATGAAGCTGTGTTAGGAATCATACGTTAAAAGGTAAGACCTCGTTAGTCCTTAGCTCGCACAAGTTTCTCAACTTCTGAGAGTTGTCGTTCGTATTGGGGCGACAGCTGATTAACGGAGAAATAGATAATAAACAGATTACAGATTATTATTCTTCAATTTGAAGTAACACATCTTTCAAAATAACATTTCTCATCCATATCTACATCTCTCTACCTTTTTTGCACCATCTCTCGCTCTGAAATATCAGGTTACGCTCAGAACTTCTCACTTGCTATTAACTTGAAATACATTTCAAATTATATATTTCTATCAATAATGAAGTTGAACAAGTGCTTATCTCTGTATTGTGGAAAATTGAAAATGTTTCTTTCATTTGCGTATGGTTCGTGTTTATCGTACGAAAAGTCGAAAAATATAACTATATGAATTACCGAAAAAACGCGATAACGTATTTTCACATTGAACACGTTCTTTGAACCTGAATATTCGATATATGAGAGAGTGCCATTAGCGATGTGATCAGTATTCAAAAAAAAACTGTTGAAAACACAAACGAAGAAGAGAACTGAAGATGTTGAAATTGATAGTATTCATTCTTCTCCTCAGTGGCTCCTTAGCCTACGTTTACATTCGTCCTGATGTGAATAATTCAGGTTAGTCCTCTATATTATGTATTCAGTCTGATTGTTAATGAATTTTGGTCCGGTATTGGACATTTTTTTCACCAAAAATTCATGTGCGAATTTTGTGGAAGATGTAGTATAACTAAGCGAAAAAACAGATTCATAGTTACGAGCTCACTTCTGAATTTCGACATGAAAATTTCCAACAAATTCTTCTTATTGATCAATAACATACATCCAAATATTTTTTCATTCTCAAAGATCAGTCCCTTTTCAAAAAATATTTCTAGCCATCCAACTTCCTTCAATGGAGGGAAAAGAACATGAATATGAAAGCTAGTTATTTTTATGAACTGTGTCCAACAAAAAAAACTGGATCTAGTCGATATATAATTTCATCCCCAAACGAATTTGCTTTCCAAATTGTCTATTTTCGGTTGTACTTTCTGTAATGGTCCTGGATTTACACAGATGATACAACTTTATCCTGTAGCAAGGGAAATATTGTTCGAAAAATAACCCACAACGTATTCTCACAATCGTAATCGCAAAACTCTGTACTCGATGGAAATATCTCAACAGCCCCCTCCAGCTCCTTCGGCACGCACAGGTGCCTAGGAATCTGGCAGATCGAGTTGCGCTATGACATATTGATTACTAGCGATTGTTTATGAACAGGTTGATACTTCGATACATTACAACACCTCACACTGAAAACAAAACATAATTAGGTATAACAATCACCTGCTGGTCTTAATATCCACATCTATCTGATTCCTTTCTGTGTATATGTGTGTACGAAGCGCTTGGTAATGGACACTGGTATCTAGAGGTTTCGCAAGAAGAACATTTGTAGCCGAAGTTTTTCACCTAGATAGTTTTACATACCCATAGTCCTTGGTTATTACAATATCTCCTACGGACGAGAATGCAAAGATTGAAGCATTCATTTGAAGAAGCTGTCTAGTTTTTAATACTGAACTCTGAGTCGGAACTTTTTCAGTAAGAGGTAATTTTCAAAATCGCCGAAACCACTTCAGTCTTGCGACAACACAATAACGTGCCAATAGGTTTTTTTCATTGAAGATGAACGTTACTTTTCTCAGGTCGAGTGGGCTGAAGTCGGACATTCGTTTTGGTTTACCAGGATGGTGTCTTCCAGATCTCAGTCTAACGAAATCTCGACAAAACTGTGAACACGTTCACTGTTGATTCTATTCGCGAACTGTATATGCCTAAGAGTTCTTCTAGATCACCTTCAGCAATCCTTCAATATTGACAAAACATGGATTTTGACAAGACTCTGTGATCCAGAAAAGATTCAAAATGGTGTGTAATAACTGCTGATGAAACAATTGAAACTATTCATTCCATACCCTCGCCAAGTTCTATGGAGTATTCAAACCTAAGAGTAATGATTTTATTTCAAATTTCATGGAATTGGTAGGTGAAATATCTAAAAGAGGAAAAAATTGCATGTTGTCATTCTTTTCATGGAATCAATACGACTTGTTCCAATCATTATCCTTCAGGTGGTCATAGAGATACTGATGGAATCAGTAAAATTTACAACAATATCTGCTCAGAATTCAGGTGCTTACTAAACTCCAATTGAAATTTGAACATGTTTTGTTTTGTTCAGTATTTGTCAATAAATAGTTTCAGGATGTCTTGCTCAACTTTGTCTTCATTGTTGTACGTATTCCTTTCATTCTTCTTCTAACTATATAATATTCATGTATGTTTATAGAAGAAAGCAAATATATCAGTGAATAAGAGAAATGAAGACGTAATGGTTATTATATCCGTCGTGAAGTTTTATGCTTAGGATGATTAGAATAGATATATAAATAGTGAAATATATTCATTTTCTCTGCGGACTCTGCAGATCCTTTCCTGGGGACCCGGGGTTCTTGATTTTCAAACCGAGTGACCATTTATCTCACGATGTGAAGAGTGGTCATTAGTAACTGATGGCGATATTTCCCCGTAATATCAAAACTTCATGGAAAGGGCTCGACGGGTAAAATTTATACTAGTAATCATGAAAATCATTTTTCATTTGCTGAAGACGACGAGGTGTATTATCGCTTCTTCATATTTTCCGACTCACCCATACGTTTTCACTAAAATTATTTTTATTTCAGGTGAATGTGGAGACAACGCATATCGAGAGCCTTGTGCCTCGGCCTGTATAGAGACACCAACGTGCCAAAATAGATTCCCAGAACCATATTCAGAAAGGTGTGTGGAATATTGTGTTCCCAAATGTCTATGCACTAGAGGATTCATCAGAGATGATGTAACAAAACGATGTGTTCCAGTTTCAGAATGTTCGAATACCGAAAGTACCGAAAGTGCTGAAAGTTCCTGGTCATTCTTTCCAATTTTAGTTGCGATCAACTTTCCTCAAAAATAAAATTCACGTTGAATAAAACAATCATTTTATTTTATAACTCACCGTCATTATCACCTGTGATCTCAAAATAATCGTTAATCGTTAGGAATATATTCTAGGCACTCCTCAAACTGAACTTGTCATCCTGTCGTCTGGCTCTTGAAGATGACAGTACGACCAGCTGTCGAAAGCGCTCGCAGATAATTAATAGAAGATATAAAGCTTCAAATCATTTTGGTGAAAATTAATATTAAA